GACAGGCACCGGGGCCAGCGCTTCTCTGCTGCTCGGCGGACACCATCAGCCTGGGGCCCACACTGTCTGAGGCCTGGTCCTGCTGGCTCTTTACTTTTAATTAAAAGTATTTCTATTGATTTCAGAGAGGAAGGGAGAGGGGGAGACATAGAAGAGATAAGAGAGAGAGAGAGAGAGAGGACCCGAAGCCGGGAGGCATGGACCGACTGACACACCTCCATGTGGGGCTGGAGGGACGAGAAGCGATAACCAAAGAACTTACATACTTACAGGCACAGCCCATGGGCACGGGCAATAGGGTGGTAAGGACCTGGGGGGTGAGCAGGGGCTGGGAGGAGGGGGGTAAAAAAGGGGGTAAAATGGGAGACATCTGTAATCCTATCAACAATAAAAATATATTTAAAAAATAAAGTTTTTGAAAGAAATTTTTAAAAATGATAAATCATTGATAGGCTGCCTCCTGCACATCCCCCACTGGGGATCAAGCCCACAACCCAGGCATGTGCCCTGACCAGGAATCGAACCCTGACCTCCTGGTTCAGAGGTGGATGCTCAACCCCTGAGCCACAGAGGCCGGCTCTCCCTGACTTTATTGCTTCTCTTAGTAACTGTTCTAGTTTTCCATGGACCCACAGTGAACATGCGCGATGAGCAAGGATGTGCCCAGGTGCCCAGAGCTTTCTACCTACATAACCCCTGGGCCACAGCGGATCCGAGTGACAGCCCAGAGCACACCACACTGAAGGGGTCAGACGGTCCTGTGCTTCCACGCCTCGCAGGTAAAATCCCAATGCCTCCCTCCAGCGCGCCTGAACCCTGCCCGCCAGCCGCGTCTCCTGGCCCCTCTCCCACACCCACTGCAGCCACTGCTGCCCTTTCCCTGCCCAGGGACACATCCCCGCGGGCTTTCTCTTCTGTTCTCTCCTGGCCTGGGACCCGCGTTGCTAAGATACGGTCGTGGCCACTCCAGCTCAGCACTCACTGGTCCCTGCCCACAGACTCCAGAACCCTCCCAGCACCCTCTCCGAAAGGCCTGCGCGTCACCACCAGCTGCATAACCCTCTGTCCGAGCGCACTTTTTACTCATTGGTGCGTGTTTACCGAGTGCGACAACTCCCCCCGCACCTTCTCCAGGTACAGCTTCGGTCTCCTCGACTGCAGGTCCCCTGGCACCTAGAGAAGGTACTGGGTGCTCAAGAAATACTTGCGCAGCCCTACTGTGTGGCTCAGTGGATAGAGCGTCGGCCTGCAGACTAAAGGGTCCCAGGTTCCATTCCTGGGCACAGGCCCAGGTTGTGGGCTCAATCCCCAGTAGGGGGCATGTAGGAGGTGGGCGATCAATGATTTTCTCTCATCATTGATGTTTATCTCTCTCTCTCCCACTCTCCCTTCCTCCCTGAAATCAATAACAATATCCTATATAATAAAAGGGTAATATGCAAATCGACCGAACAGTGGAACGACCAGTTGCTATGATGCGCACTGACCACCAGGGGCAGATGCTCAGCCAGAAGCTGGCTCATGGCTGGTAAGCGCAGTGGTGACGGCGGGAGCCTCTCCTGCCTCCCCGTCAGTTGGACATCCCCTGAGGGCTCCTGGACTGCAGAAGGACGCAGGCCGGGCTGAGGGGACCCCCCTCCCCTCAGTGCACGAATGTCATGCACTGGGCCTCTAGTAAATAAATAAATAAATAAATAGCGTTCAGTCATTGAACAAACAGCGAAAGGAGAGAGGAAAAGGGAAAAACCCTGAAGTGTACGCTCGCAAAGACTTTGTTTTATTTTCTGTTTTGCATGTTTTGTTTGTTCTTTTTTTATGCGACTGCTTTACTGAGAGACCTCACAGAGCACGCAGGTGGCCCAGGTAACTGTACCATTAATGGCTGTTAGTATCGTCACGGGATTGTGCCGCCATCACCACACTCAGCTGCAGAACCTTTTCATCACCCCCCAAAGCAGCACCATGTCCCACTGCCCCCCCCCCAGTCCCAGCCACCCAGCCACTGCCTGTCCCTGTGGACGATGGCAAGCGCCCCGGTACCTGTTGGTGTGCGGGCATGGGCAGGCGCTGCAGGAGCCCTGGATGGCGTTGCCGTAGTAACCGTCCTGGCAGCGCTCGCAGTGCTCCCCGGCTGTGTGGTGCTGGCAGTTCTGGGGACAGACAGACGGCACAGTTAGCCGCAGCCGATCACACGGGGGACTGTGGAGACTGCGGCCACCCTCGTCGCGCAGATCGTCACCACGTCCACGTTCTCCGCAGGGTGTGGCACTTGTGCTAACCGCAGCGTTCCTGTCGGTCCCGCCACTGCTGGTGCTGGAGAGGGTGTGCGGCCCTTCCGCCCACCACTTGGGGTTTGGTGCTGGGGTGACCAGCTGGTTCAGGTCCATTGCATAGCTGTGGGTCTTGACTAAGTTCCGTCCCTCCCTGAGCCTCAGCGCTTTCCATACATCAACTTTATTGCTGTGTGATTTACATACAGCTCCAATTTTCTTAAAATGTGCGGCTAGGATAACACCCACTTTCCAAGCTTGCTGGGAGCGTTTCTAAAAATATAATAGAGCTGCCCAGCCGGCGTGGCTCCGTGGTTGCGCATGCTGCCCTGTGAACCAGGAGGTCAGGGTTCGATTCCCGTCAGGGCACATGCCTGGGTTGCAGGCTTGATCCCCAGTGTGGGGTGTGCAGGAGGCAGCCGATCAATGATTCTCTCTCATCACTGATGTTTCTCTCTCTCCCTCTCCCTTCCTCTCTGAAATCAATAAAAATAGGTATTAAAAAAAATACAGGAAAAGGTCCCTGAGAATCTATTGTCTACAGGAGAACTTTCTGAAATATTCCAGAAGACTGTTTTCCGGTGGATGAGCCACGGATGGCTCGCCTGTGTTCCTCGCTCCCACTCGCATCAGCCCTGGAGGGCTTGTGCTCAACTGTGTGCACATCTCCTTCTCCCCGGTCTCCTCCTGAGCTGCTCTCCTCTGCTGGCCACGCCCTCCACAGCCTCCTGCCGCCCCAACAAAACAGGAGCCCACGGGGAAGACTTCGATTTATTAGCTCCTCGCAAGAGTTAAGTCCAGGACCCTCCCATTCATATCATTTAATGGCCCGGCTGGTGTGGCTCAGAGGTTGAGCACCGACCTATGAACCAGGAGGTCACGGTTCGATTCCAGGTCAGGGCATGTGCCTGGGTTGCAGGCTTGATCCCCAGTGTGGGACGTGCAGGGGGCAGCCTATCAGTGATTCTCTCTCATCATGGATGTTTCTTTTTCTTTTTAAGTCTTTATTCCTCTTTTCCCCCATTGTCTCCCTTCTAGCCTGCCCCTGCCCCAGGCCCTCACCACCCTACTGCCCGTGCAGTGAGTTATGCACACATGCATACACACATTCTTAGGTTGATCTCTTGTATCCCTCTCTCCCTCTCCCTTCCTCTCTCTGAAAGCAATAAAACTATATTTAAAAAATCACTTAATGAAGCAGAGGTTTAGAAGCGAAGTTGTTAACGTGGAGGAGGGTGAGGGGTGAGGTCCTTCGGACTCGTCTCTCGGGCCTCCTGCACGTGCACAGCCCCGCTGCCTGGGGTGTAGGATGTGACAGTGGATGTCCCGGGCCCGGCGGGCGGGGTGGGGGTGGGGGAAGGACAACACAGATCGCCTGCTGGCAGTGTCACAGCGTCCATGTACTCACGATGCATGTTCCAGAGCCGTCCTGGCATCGATGTGAGTGTCCGTTGCAATTGCAGGGCACACACCGCCCGGTATACAAGTCTTTGTTGTCCCGATAGTATCCGGGGCTGCAGCCCTATTTTTCAAACAAAGTGTTCAGTCAAAACGGGGGAAAATTATTATCCAAAGCACTCGACCGTTCTAACGGACAAGCCTCGCTTCTTAAATCTTCTCCCCTTAGTCTGTGTGTGGATTTCACTCAAACACCAGCCTGTCCACCTGCTTTCTTCTTTGTCTGTTGGGCTCTGTTTTGTTCCCGGGCCCTGGGGGGAGGGGGGTGTCCTGGGGGGAGTGTGTTTGTGCCCGAGCGGGGGACGGGGTGGGGAATCCCGAGAAGGGAAGTTTGGAGGGTGGGTGTGGACCTGCTTCCTCTCCTTCTCACGCCAGCTGTTTCCAGGGTGAGGGGATGGGGTGGAGGTGAAGGTGCAAAGGGGATGAGGACCTCAGTCCTTCGTGGGGAGGATTCTAAGCAAATCCCTTCAAGTTCAAGTTCTTTGGTAGCCATTCCCTCTCCAGGTACGGATTTGAGCAAGTGGGCAAGGCCCACTTGTGGGAGGAGGGGAGGAGGGGAGGAGGGGGTCTTCACTGGGACCCACACAACCGGGGCAGGACTGTGGGATCGAGCCCCTGCCCCTCAGGAGCTACAGGCAGCAGGGGGAGCAGGGGGGAGCGTGCCCGGTTCCCACAGAACTGGCAGGGATAGCGGGGCTGACTGTGCGCAAAGCCAGCTCAGGCAGCCCCTCCCTGCTCCCGCTCCACAGCGCTGACCACTTCTGTCCCCCGTGCACTGTCTCTCCCAGGGCACACAGCCGTCACTCTTCACACGGGTGAAAAGAATGACCCTTTTTAGTGAACTCGTCTACTTTAAAGAGGTATTCTAGTTAAGGACGCCCCCGATAAAGAGAAGCAACTACTCCTACACCAGCCCCTAAACATGATTTAGATTTCTGCCTTTAAGCCGAATTCCAGGCACTTTCGTTCCTTCGCAGAGAGAACCAGTGTCTGGCTAACGCCAACACTGCCCCTCGCTCCCCTCCTGGCCTCCGAGGTGCCCTCTCCTCAAAGCACCAGGAAATGTAATCTTTCAAGATAAAGGTCATTTGTCCAATCCCCTCTCAACAGCCCCTATGTCTTCAGACTCCGAAACTACCGCCCAGGGACACCTGGACGTGAACTGGCCACCCTGACCCGTCCGTGGCCAAAAGCTCTCTCCCGGTCAGTGGGGACAGCGGGACCAGGGACCGGCTGGCGGGAGAGCCTCCTGCACTGCCCGTCTGGAACATGCCCGTGGCTGCCGGGAGCTTCTTCCACAGTGACCCGCGACGCCACACTGTGCACAGATCGAGACCGCAGCTTCCAATGTACTTTTCCCTCCAGCTGCCAGGAACCCAGCTTAGCCAAGGAGCCGCTGCAGGAAACCAGATTCCTTCAGCTGCGCTATGAACGGGCTTGCCCAAAGGATCGAAGCATGAAAGGAATGCTCTTCAGCCAAAAGCACAACCGAGATTCCTTCAAACGAAATTCAGCCGACCAGGGTCTGGTTGCCTCTGCAAGCCAGTCACCGCGGCTCATCAGGGGTGAGGACCGATGATTATCACCACCTGTCACCTCTCACACACACAGTAATCACATTGGCTAAGGAACAAATTATCCAATAAAGAGGTACAGCAGGTTTGTCTGCAACAACATCACCAAGTAAAAGCCTCAATTGGACGTTCTGTGGGGGGAGGGCAGGCGACCCTGGTTAGAGGTAAGTCATCCACCCTGATCTGCTCTCATTCGAATCGGAAGAAGTCCTCTGCCCGAGTTATGGGTCCCTCGGCTCTCAGATAAGCCATCTGTCAGTTCCTGAAATGTGATCATTTCCCCTCCATAGAGCACACGAACCCCAGTTTACGTAAAGCTCAGTTCGATTCCGACTGCATGAAAGACATTCCCTCAATGACAGTGAGTGTCCTGAGATGTGACTTCAGGAAAGGGGCTTGCAGCTCATCATTTCTTAAATGATCATTTTCAGGGTAACTTTCCCAAGGACAGCTGAGGCTCCCACAGCTATTCAGCAGCCGGAGAATCATGGCTGTGAGGCTCCGTGCAACGCCCAGGACGTGGAGAGAGAACCGAATGTGTGAGCTCAAGCCCTCACTGAGCCGCCTGGTCCGTGTTGTACCAACATCTTAAAACAGGGACTTCGCTGACCCTGATGGCTGCCTTCGAGAGTCATTTTCTTCCGAGCAGAACTGGAAAGCCGATGGGCTCTGGGCTCTTTGTCTTGAGGCTCAGGTTACTCTCAAAAGGGCTCGTTTCACAGCTTATAACCTCCCACAAGTGTTCAAACCCTCAGCTGCCTGGCACTTCCAGGGGGGCTGGTGTTTGTAGGGTGTGTGGCTAGCCTGCCGGGCCCTGCAGTAAACACGCCAGTCCAGGGGAGGGGAGGCCGCCGGCCCCGCCCCAGTCCCCCTTTACCCACTTACACCCTAAGGAAGTTAAGACGCCACAAAGCTGGGACCCCTCCCCAGCCCCACGCCAAAACGTAAAGGGGACATTACCTGGCTGGGTTTGAACTCCACAAAGCCTGCTTGCTGGCTGCTTTGACCAGGAGGCTGAAGAAACGCCACCCTTTGCTGCTGAGCACCGTACCCCAGACACTGCCCCAGGGCCGCCCCGAAGATCCACAGCCACCCCACGCTCCGGGCCGACCACCTCACTGCCAGGGGCATCCTGGTCCCTGGGCGTCCGCTGGCTGCACACCAGCCTCTGCCCTGCCTCTTATACCAGCCCTTCCTGCCGGGGCCAGGCCGCCTGACTCAGGTGAGGCGGGCTGTCTGCGGCGGGAGGCCCCACCTGTACCTGCACCCATGAGTCAGCCTGGGGAGAGCACCGTGAGCCGCTCCGCAGAGCAGCCGCTCTGTAATCCCTGCCAGGCGGGGCGGGCACCACCTTCCACCCACCTGGCCTCAGACAGGCGAGCGGGCGGCCCTAGCCAGGAGCAGCTGTAAATCACAGGCTGAGTCACGGGAGGCCACACCCTGGGTGGGAGGGCGGGAGGGCCATAATCCCAGGCTCCACTCCTTCCCTGGAGCGATGGATTTCAGTCAGCCGGCTGGAGAGGAGCCGAGGGATGTGGGGAGTGGGGGCCCTGTGGGCTACATGGCAGGAGACAGGAGCCCCAAAACATGCAGATAATACACTTTAGATTAAAAAACAACAAGAACTCCTGGGTGCCGGTCCCCGTGCGGTGTCCCACCCTTGAGGGCTGAGAAATGAAGGGTGTCCGTGGGACACACAGGACAATTATTTCCTGACAACTGTACCAACATTGTGATTTCTCCTCTTGCTTAGGAAGAGAGCAGACTTACAGCCTGAGGTGTGTAGTCGCTTCATTTTAGAGCACATTTTTAAAAAATGTATTTTTATTGACTGCAGAGAGGAAGGGAGGAAAGAGAGACAGAAACACCAATGATGAGAGAGCATCATTGACCAGCTGCCTCCTGCACACCCCCTACTGGGGATGGTGCCCACAACCCGGGCCTGTGCCCTGACCGGGAATCGAACCGTGACCTTCTGGTTCATAGGTCGATGCTCAACCACTGAGCCACACCAGCCGGGCTGAGGGCACGTTTTAATCCCGTGAGGACAAGTCCAGTCGACTGGGCCTCAAGCGAGGACCTGCTGCGAGTGGGAAAAGGGGACTTTGATGTCCCCACGAAGGATTGGGATGTACTTGGACTTAACTCTGCAGGGTGGTGATGGAGGGAGCCCTGAGTTAGAGAGAAGCACGAACTCGGGTCGGTACCAGGGAAGCAGCAGCTCGGATACTGGGGTGCGCCTGGGGCTCCTTCCAGCCTCCGGGAAGCTCTGATGTGACCCCGGATCCACGGGCTCCTCAGCTCTCCCGTGGGTTCCGAGACGCTGGGATTTCTTTCCACTTAATACCTGAGGGGGGGTCCAGGCAAGACAGGAGCCACAGCCCCGCCGAGACCTGTGCGTGGAGCGGGCGGCCAGACCAGCCGGTGCTGGACAGCGGCCAGGAGTGCCCGGGGCGCTTGCACGGACAGGAGAATGTCCTACCTGGCACGAGTCACCCGTGTACTCAGGGGGGCAGGCACACATCTCCACCGTGTGCGCGCGGCGCCCGCTCCCTGTGTCCGAGGCCTCCTCCAGCCCCACCCCGCTCAGGCTGAGCCGCTGCGTCTCGCTGAAGTACAGGCCGCGAAGGCGCATCTCCTCCAGCCCCGACAGCACCACCATCAGCTCCGCCCGCGTCACCGGGGCGCCGCTCCCCGCGTGCCGGAAGCTTCCCTGCAGGGAAACAGAGAGGCAGGCTCACCTCAGGGAGGCAGACACCCAGACAGTCGACGACACAACAGAAAATAAGATGCAGTCGGATAGGAAGGGCCTGACGGTGGACAGACACTCAGGCGTCAGATGTCCTGCTTCCTCCCAGGAGGAGGGAGAGCCACGTCGAAGGGGGGAAATGAAGGGAGGAAATCAGGAACAATGCAGTGAAACTGAAGTTTCCAGTGTTAGGCTTCTTTTAAAATGTACTTGTGGCCCAGCTGGCGTGGCTCAGTGGTTGAGCATCCCACTTGTAGGGCTCCCCCCACCTGCAGAGCCCCCTGCAGAGCCCCCTCACCTGCAGGGCCCACCCCACCTGCAGGCTGGCTGGGGGCGGGGTGGGGGGGCAGAGGCAGAACCCACCTTTCGCACTGCGCTCCCGTGTAGCCAGGTTTGCAGGAACACTGCACGCTGCTCCCCGTCACAACGCAGCTCGTGGCGAAGCTTGAAGGAGACAGAACAAAGGCCGGTGAGAGTGGCATCGATGGGCCTCGGGCTCATTACTTTTGGCCACAAGGAGGCAGCGACAGGGACCAAGGGGCTGCTGCTTTGCTGAAGAACGTGTCTCCCACGGAGACGTGCAGAGACAATGAGGGATTCGTTCAGCCGCCGTCGGGCACATTTTGGTGAACAGGGACCAAAGGTGTTTGTTCTGTTCTGTTTTTGGCCTGAATTCCTTCCCCTAAGACGAGCAAAGCAGCTCACTGGGACGAGACGATGACAACAGCATTTTCCCAGAAATAACAAGGAAGGCATCAAACAAGCCTGGGCAGCTAGTTCTTTAGGAAAATGTTCTCCGTGTTTATTCTAGTTCTTTTACATCAGCACATGGCCTCTGGGAGAAAGCGGTGGAGGGGCCGGGCCGGAGCCCAGGGCACTGAGGCAGGAGCGTGGGGCCCCTTTGGGCTGTTTCCCAAGTCACGTTGTGGGATTCTCATTTCCCTTCTTTTAGTTCTCAACTGGCGTACATTTGAGAAGCTTTTAAAAATATGTACATATTTTATTGATTTCTGAGAGGAAAGGAGAGGGAGAGAGAGAAACATCAATGATGAGAGAGAATCACTGATCAGCTGCCTCCTGCATGCCCCCCACCCTGGCCTTTGCCCTGACCGGGAATTGAACCATGACCTTCTGGTTCATAGGTCAATGCTCAACCACTGAGCCACGCCAGCTGAGCTGAAAAGCTTAAAGAAAAAAAATAATAATAAGAGAAAAGATCGTGAAAAAAACCCCTTGAGAAATGTCTATCTCTGTGCTTTGAACATTCCGCTGTGTAAATCTGAGGGAAATGACTCCATTTACCATTTGCTGGTAAAAAAAAAAATAATAATAATTATCTATAATAATAAAAGAGTAATATGCTAATTAGACCGGATAGCCGAACGACCTTCTGGACGTCCTTCCAGATGACCTTCCGGATGAAGCTTTGGCTGCGAGGGCCGAGTCCCTTGCACGATTTTGTGCACTGGGCCTCTAGCAATAATAATAAAAATCTTATTTGGGAGCTTCTCTCGGCCGGCAGTGAAAGCCACAGCTCTAAGGGACAGTCGGAAACCCGCCAGCGGCACCCATCTTGCTGGAGGAGACTGGATACGGCTGGGCCGTCGGCTGATGCACTCACGGAAGATGAAAGCTTCCTCCATCGCGTGGGAACCCGCCGCCTCCACCCACTCCAGCCTCTGCTCCAACAAGTCTGGGCGGAGCGGGACGGATCTCCGATCCGGGCTGCTCAGCGGCAGGACCAGGCAGGCTGGCTGAGCA